GAAGGAGAGGGGGGACGACGCCACCGAGGGACACAAGCAGCCTCTGCAGCAGCACACAAAGCTCAGCAGCCTCCTCCCTGCATCCCAAGTCCTGCCCCACCACAGCTGAGCTTTCCCTCCTTTCTCCTGGCTGGATTGAGTGTCCCCAGCTCCATGGAGCAGGCTGGTCCCCTAGAGAGCCACCACCAGGGGAGGTAGCCCAAGCCACCAGGTAGCTTGAAGGCAAAGCAGCGACTGGCTGGGGAAATGAAGTGTTTATTACAACCGAGCAGGTACAGGGGCAGGAGGCTTCACTCTCAGAGGTGCCCCAGAGACAGGGAGCTGCTGTGTGTGAAGGAGGCCCTTATTTGCTTCCCAGGTGGTCTAGTGGGAGCAAGATGCTCCCCTCTCCCCATCCGGTCCCCAGACATCACCAGGGCAAGGTCCTGCCTTCACAAGGGGATCTGTCACCTCATGCCCACTGCCCCAGCCCATCCTGGCTGTGACCATCAACCCCACGCAGAGACACAAGTGCAGTTTCTACAAAAATATCCTTCCCTCAGCCCAAAAGGAGACTGCAGGAGCAGGCAGAGCTCCCGCAGTGCGGTTATTGCTCAGTGTGACGGGCAGGAACTTAAGGCAACAGGAATAAGTGCACTAGGTGGGCCCCCAAGGCGTGCATGGGGCAGCCAGGCCCCCCCAGCTCATTGTCTCAGGCAGTCCTCAGTGACCCCTTGTGCAGCCAGCTCTGCCAGCACGTTGTCCAGGTAGTTGGGGTCTGGGTAGCCGTGGCCACTCAGGTTTGTGTCCATCTCAGTCTTGTGGTGGATCTCGTTCCACACCACTGTGTTGCTCTCGCCAGTGGTGCTGGAGGTGCCCACTGTGAAAATGAGGCGTCTCTTCCAGGCCACCCTCAGGAGCTCCAGGACCTAGAGGTGGGAAGGGAAAAAGCAATGCTGGCCTTCAGCAGGTAGGAGACTTGAGCCATGCAAGCAGCTTGCCAGAAGCTTGGCAACCTAAATCCTTGCTTTAGGAGGAAACCAAAGATCCCAGCATCAGAAGGGATCTCCTTCACCTTCCTGCGGTGTCCCAATGGAAGGGACCATTCCCTGCACGTGCTGGTGTTCAGGAGTTCCCAGATACTGGCACAGGGTGAGACAAAAAACACCCCCCAAAGGAAATAGGGATGGGAAGAGCCATACAGTGCAAACCTTGTAACTGCATAGCCCAAGACAGGCCAGGAGTGTCTTCCCAAAGAATCACATGGGATTTTGTTTAGTAAAGGGATGAAGGAGAACAAGTCTTCACAGTCAAAGCTGTGAAAGAGCAGCACGGGAACAGAGGAATTACAAACACGTAAGGAACAGCGTGGACAACTACCAGGAACAGCTGGTTAGCATCAAGAGGACATCCCCCAGAGCAACCCTGTTGTGCTGATGCACCAAGGCAGGGCCAAGAGACAAACCCAGAAGGGCTGTGCTACCAGGGTGTGGCACCTCACCTTTCTGCCCTTCTCGTTGTCTGGCAGGTAGCAGTAGCGAGGAAAGCCTCTTGCTGTGTACGGCATCCCAGGGTTGGGGTGCTCAGGGCCCTGCAACAGATAACACGTATTTGACATGGATACATCCATCCTCAGGAGCTGGGCGATCCCTCAGCAGCAGGATTTAGGATGAGCAGCAGGATTTGACGTAGGCACAGCTCAAACCAGCACTTCTATGTAAAAGGAGCATGGGATTGCTGCTGAGTATATGGTATCTGATTTGCTTTTATGGGACATGTAAGTACTGCGGGTCCTCCAAGGGCCATCTTGTACTGGGATACAAAGCATCTCCTTGAGGAGATGCTGGGATAGCCTTCAGATTGCCCCAATTCTGGGGGGAAGAAAGCCCCAAACCAGAGCTTTTTCCATGTTCTGCTGGCCCCCTAAGTAGACCACCCAGCTCAAACCTTCGCAAGCTCATTGCTACCACCAAAACCTCGGATGTGGGTTGTGAAACCAGACGTTGGGATCTCCCACTTTTGTGAGCACAGGCTGAGTTGCCCCTCTGCTTCACAGACATCAGTCTTTACTAGAGGGAAAAGGCTGTTGTAGATCCTGGGGCCACTCTCAAAGTGGAAAAAGACCTTTCAAGTCACCCATACATGGCAGAACAGGCAGTGCAGCTGCTGGCACCTTGGGCTGCTCAGTGATGGGCTCCAGCTATACTGGGTGCCAGTGCTTCACTGGGAGGCCACCCAGCAGCAGCCATGCACTCACCTGAATGCCTCTGCTGATGTGATACACAATCTGGATGGTCCCACAGTCCCTGTGGCCAGGGAGGGACTGGGGGAAAGTGGAGACCTCCATCTTCCCTTTGGGCTGAGTACCAGTTTTCTCCCCGTAGATGGTTTTACAAGAGGGGCACTGCAAGCTGCCATCCTGTAAGGAGACACAAGCAGGCATCAGAGCTCCAGAGCCGAGCCACCCAGACACAGGGGACGTGGTGGGGATGGGCCAGCTCCGTACCTTGTTCCCATTGGAATACATGGCCAGCATGCAGAGCATGTGGAAGGAGTGCTGGCAGCTTGTCAGGCGACCGACAGTCTCTGGCTTGATCGTGCTGCACTCACATGCATCCGCATAGCCTGAGGGGGAGGACAGCTTCTCCATGCAGATGATGCAGTCCTGGAGTCCAAGACAGCAAGGAGAAAACCACCATGTAGTGTGAGCACAGGCTGATCATGACTGACCCACCAAGGAAGTGATAAAGGAGATGCTGCAGGAAGATTTTGCCTTCAACGCTCCCATTTGAGGTTTAAGGGCACAGAGACAGGTTTCCTCCTCTGGCTGGTACCACCCCACTCCATCACCTCCTGGACAGCACAGGAAGAGAGCTGCCACCAGCCACAGGGGATGAGTGGGAACTGAGTATGGGCATGTCCTGCTCCTTTACAGAGCAGCTCCAGTGCAGGGTTCTGATCTCTGTAGTTGACCTCTGAGCATTGAGAGGAGCCCAAAGCCAAACTCCCTCCTCCACCCCAGGCCCTGCAGCCATCTCCAAAGGAAATGAGGAGGCATTGCCAGCTTTAGCTGTTCAACTCACACCGTGCTTTCTCTGTCATGGTCCTCTAAGAGGTCACGGGTTACCACACGTGGGCTTCAGGCAGTGCTGAAGCTTTTCCATCTAGTGCCAACAGTGCCATTGCAAGCAGTAGTATCTAGCACACAGGATGCCCAAGGAAGGGGTGTCCTCACACATCGGTGTGGTTTGCACAGCACCCTGGTGAAGAGGCCACTGGGCAAGCTGAGTTTGCTTCACTGTCCCCTCACCTCATCAGCAGGAGAACCCTTCAGCTCTTCCAGGTACTTCTTCACCACCGCTTCTGGCTCCGTTGGTGTCGCTGCATGAGGAGGGAGATAAGAAAGAGGAGAAATGAGACATGCCACGAGATATGATGGGCACAACGTGCAGGGTGAGCCAGAGAGAAGGGAGACAAGCAGGTCACTGGCCAGGACGCCAAGGAGAGAGGTTAGAGGGGAAGAAGAGGCTGCTCCAACTGATCCCTGCAAGCCCCACAAAGGCTTTGCGGGTCAGAAATGGCCACCACTAGGACCACGAGTGCTGCTGATGGGAGATCCCAAAGGCAGATGTTGGTGCCCTGTGCTCCAGTTCTCCCCATGTGCCCTACACAACGTCAGCCAGGTCCCAGCTGGACTTTGTTTGTGCACACCAGAGGCCAGCCAGGCTCAAACTCAACCCAAGGCTGCTATGGTCTCAGTGGCAGAGAGGATTATGCCATCTGTGTTGTCAAAGGAGAACAGGCATTCCCACATCACCCCAACTGGCTCCTGACCAGGACACCCAGCAACACACTAAGCTTCATGCCCTGTTTTGAGTACAGCAGAACACACAACAGTGACCTTCCTCTTGAGCTTCTACATACTCATCTCCAGCAAGACACAGTGCAAGTCACAAGGGATGGAAAACAAACCAGCTTTCTAACAGGTACCCTGTTTGCAGCACACGACACTGATAGAGTCACATTTACCTGTCCACCCAGGCACAGGCACCCAAGCAGCCCAGCCAGTCCCTTTGGAGGCATTACAGGATTAAGCAACCAACATGACACAACACCCAGAGCAAGTCAGCACTGAGAGCACAAGCAAACACCTTGTCCTAGGGCAGCGAGCATCGCATGCCTCCGCACGGCACCCGGCCCCGGAGGTGAGCTCCTTACCGGTCATCAGGCCCGTCACGGAGGCTGCCAGGCTCTTCCACCAGCCTAGGAAAGGAAACATGAGCACAAGTGATGTTATGACTCCACCTGACAGGAGGCACGAGACCTGTCACTTGGCTCAGGGGGAATCTCGCTCTTCCTTCCCGGATCTACTTCTAGGGGGGATCGGGGGAAAGCAGTGATGGGCAGGCTGGCAGAGAGGCAGCTTCTCCTTCTCCATCCTGGCCAGCCAGCACCAGGATGGGGAGCAGGGAGCAAAGGAAGTGCTAGCAGCAGCCAGACAGGCCACACATACCTGTGCCCAACACCCCTTGCAAGGGAGTTGTACTCCAAAGGGCTTTGCTCTCAAGTTTGTTTCTAAGCCACTGTAGAACATCAGCTTTAAGCACAGGGACTTTAGTTTCTGTTAAAGCACAGCATGTGCTTTAGCACAGGGAGTACTGGTACTCCAAACTCCACAGAGCATCACCACATGCAACTGCCAGCTATCAGAGCTGTGGGTGCACCTGTACAACATGCATCTTCAGCTCTCCCCATCCACTTTGGTGCTTTCAAAGAAGATGGAGTGTTCACAAGCATTCGCTCTGTGGTTGGAAGAGCTGTGCATCAAGACATGACCATACTGGAGCCAGCACTGAGCTGTTCTGCCATGCCAAGAAAGCAATGTCTATCACCAGCAGGAAGGTATGGGTGCTGTTTAATGGACAACCACTTCTCATGGTGGAGGCAAACATGGTGAAGCAGAAGGGAAGGACAGCTCACATGCCACAGGTGCCATTAAACAGGCAAAGACCTACATGACAGCAGATCTGTGCCAGCCAGGAGCCCCTCATTCCCCTGCAAACAGCTTGTGCTATGGGGATCCCTCAACAGAGAGCACAAGGTCACCCTACAGCACAGAGAGCTGGGGAGATGCAACCAGGGCAAAGATGCCTTCTCACTGTTGACAAACTAGCTCAGGGCAACAGAGTGAGGCAGAGCACTGATGTGGGTGGAAAACCAGGTAGTTAAGGAAGGCTGATGGACTGGGAGCTGGGCTTCCCAAAATGGGAGTCATTAAGATGAGGTATCTTCAGAAGAGGGTTCCTGGCCATCCTGAAACACCTGACTTCTGGCAGCAGCAGCAGTAGAAAGGGATGACGGAGCACACAGAGCAAGAAAAGGAGCCCAGGAGAAGGGATGCTCCCTCTGAAGTTGGTGCTGGGCAGGAGAGGAGATGCTCAGCATCTCGGGCAGAGCAGGGCTGTGAGGAACACCCTCTGAAGACCCTTACCAGGAAGGTGGTAATAGGATAAAATAAGCATTAAGCCAAGGAGCAACATGGAACTGGCATTCTCCACTGCAGGAGCACGCCAAAACCCCCATGAAAAACATTTCCAAGAACTGCCACAAGAAAGAGCAGGAGACAAACAGGAGCCTGGGCAAGCCTCAGCCTTACAGCTCTCAGGGCAAGAGCTCAGCAGGGCCAGGAGCTGCTTCAAGGCCTCATCATCAGATCTCACAGGGAGCACAGCTCCTGGTCTTTTCCAAAGGAGAGAAATGGGTCCAGGAACCCTCTCTGCTGGGACCTTGCTCACACACAGCAGATCAGTTACAAGGAGATGTGATCAGTGTCTCAGGTCATGGTCAGAGCTCAGCTTGGTGCTTATTGTGCCTGAAGCCCTCCAAGCTCCCGAGTGATGTCCCCACCACAGGGTGGCACTTTCCACATATGGCAGCTGGAACCAGGCTCTGGTTTGCAACCACCAGAGACCTTCATGGTTACAGGGAGATGGAGGCTTCAGCTTTTTCTGCTCTGCAGGTTTTGGAGAGGACCATGTGGGCAGGGCCAGCTGCTACCTGCCATAAATCCATCTGCTTGGATGAGTATCCGATGGCGACACCATATTCTTGTTCCTGAGGATCCCATGCAGCTTGCCAGGTCCTTCTCCACCTGAACTCTGCTTTCCAGTTGGCTCTTTCTGAAGTGACCTTCTTGTCTCCTCTAGCAACAGGCTGAGGAAAGCAATGCCAAGAAGCTGCACTGAGAAGGTGGTGAAGGCAGCGTGCAGAGAGGGTGAGTTACACCAGAGCAATGCCTGCCCTGTACTTGGCACAACACTGCAGCTCAGCTGCTCCTACCTGCACAGACCTGAGCAGCTTTAGAGCTGTTCACCTCGATCAGGATGGTGGAGGATGCTCCTTCCCTGCAGCCCCTGCTCTGCATTCCTCTTGCTGTCGACTTCCCTTCCTCTGTAGCAGCTCAGAGAGACAGAACGATGGTTTGCCCAAGAACTGGTCAGGCGAAATCATCCAAATCAGATCAGTGAAAGGAGACAAACCCCCTGGTGCAGAGCTGGGTAAGAGCGAGGACAAGAAAGCTCTCGTAGGGTACAACAGGGATTTCAGGCAAAGCAAACGGCATTACACCACCTCACCAGCTGGCATTAGGATGAAGACAGGCAGAAGAGGGTGATGCAGCCCTCAGCCATCCTTAGGAAACCCCATGTCTGATGGGTTTGCACTGGGGCATCTCTGATCTGCTCCTGTCACCTTGCTGTGGTGATGCTCTGGTGCATTTAGCTCCACTGAGGTTGTCTGGGAAGAGAAAGGGAGCTCAGATGCTTGAGGAAAATCTGTGCCCAGCTGCAAGTATCTGAATGTCCATTCCCAAGGAAGGCTCTGGATGGTGAGAACTTGGTTTCAGCAAGGGCAGCAAAGCCCACACAGCCTCCCTTGCCTCTGGAGACAGGCTTCTCCTTGGGCAGATCAGCACATCTGGCAAACCACATCCCAGCAGCACAGGGAAGAGCCAGAAGGCATCTGGGACACAGAGCACCCGCCATGGCACGAGCCACGTATGCTCCAGTGCATGAATCATTTCCTTACTGGATCATTTGCTCCATCAAAGTGTTTGCCTCCAAATCTTTGTTCTAGCCATCCCTTGGGATCATCAAAGCCTGTTCAGTCCCCAGGGTTTCCTGGATTCAATAGCAATTGAAAATGTAATAGCAGAACTGACCAATACTGTTTATCACCACCTGGCTTAACACTGTGCTATTGATGTATCTGGGATGTGGAAGAACTTTTGCCATTCTTTCATTTACAAAAAGAGGAATAACTTTTTTAATGCTTCCCCTTCCTCCCTGTAGATAATAATAAGCTGCTTGTTGAAGCAAGGGCTTTCCATGGGCAACATTTAACAGATGTGTTTTGAATCCTTGCTTGGCAACCAAGTGCTTGCAGCAGTAACATGCCTCCTTCTGTATCCCAAAACGAGCCATATGGTTAGCAGCAGGCTTTTTTTGGTACCCTCTGCAGGCCACACACAGGTTGTTTCTAGTCATTGTCACGGACAGTCACTCAACCCTGATCACCTCTGCCCTCTAGAAAAGCTGGCCTCAGCTTCCCAGAGATCAGAAAGGCAAGAGGAGATTGGAGGTTTCTCCATATTCAGCATTCCAGCAGGATAACCAAGCACCCAGGCTGCTCTGGTTGTGACACAGAGCATCCCTGCTGTTGCAGATGGTCCCCCATGGGAGCAGCAAGCTCCCCAGCTCTGAGGGTCACCCATTCCCACCCATCCTATAGGCACTGGCACAGTCTGCACACCCAGCTGCAGATGGAGGGACAATCAGAATCAGCTGGGATTAGTCCCCTTGCCTGGGCAGATCCCACCCTGCATGGCAGGGACGGATGAGTGCTCATCTCCCCCTCTGCACTGCAGCACTCCATGTGATTGCACACCCCAGAGAGGATGTGCAGGGAAACCTCCAAGCCAGGGGAGACGTGATCCCACCAACCAAGAGGCTGAGAAGCGACACACCAGACCCAAACCAACACCTTCTGCCTCCATAGGATCAACAGGGTTGGAAGAGACCTTTAAGATCATCAAGTCCAGCCATGGCCCTGGGAAGGCAGAGGAGCCCTGCAGTGTCCAGCTCCATGCCCGAGCAGCGTGGCAGAGCTTGGAGAGCCAGACAAGCTGCTCCCCTCCCAAGCACACCAGCAGCATCACCAGCGCCAGGCAGCGATGCAGGAGGAGCCTGAGGAAGCACAGTTCCATGCCAGCCAGCGGGAAGGCAGCGCTGATCCATCAGGACGGCAAACACAGCCAGGCTGTGTGCCAGCACCTGCAGCAGCCAGCCCAGAGGCTTCCCCGAGACCTGCAGCACCCCCAGCACAGCACTTCTGTGCCAGCCATCAGTGCCAGAACACCAACAGTGCTAATTAACACGGCCTGCCTAATTAGTGCCTTTGTCTAACAGAGCCCAGCGATGCACTGAGCTGGCTGCTGTTCCATCGATGCTGCCTGTGTGGCACCAGGAGGGGCTCCGAGGGGTGCACTGCACCCACCACCACCTATTCTGGCTCTAGCTGGCTGCACTGAGCACACTGATGGGGCTGGTCCTGGGTGCACAACTCTGAGCATGGAAAATCCCAGAGAAGGATGGGAAGAAAAGGATACACGATTTAGAAACTCAGGGCACAAAAAGGGCCCATCTCTGCCTGTTGGCAGCCTCAGGGTCTGTAAAGAGAGACAGAACAGTCTGGCCAAGAGTCAGCCTCAGTATTTTCACTGCAGAACAATGTTCTTAGGAACCCAGAGAGGGTTGTACAAACACAGCTTGGTTCCTAGCAGGGACTGAGCACCCTCTTCATCCCGAGTAGTGCACAATCAGGACTGGCATCCCTGCCCAGCAAAGGGAGTCCTGCTTTCTGAAACGAGAGGGAGGGGGTTTAGCAATCCAAACCCTGCAAAGGCAGCCCTGAAAGGTCAGTGTTGGGAAGGGCAGAGTTGGCAGAGTCTCCTCTGCAGCACATCCTGAGCAGGTTGAGGATGCCTGGGACAAATCCTGCCATGCCAGCAGAAGGAGCTGGTGTCCTGTCCCAGCCCCAGCAGGTGGCATTGGTGAGCTGGCAGGATGCTGGCACTGGGACCAATGCTGATGCCAGCACTGTCCCAGCACACCCAGCTTACGGCCAAGGTGCAGCTCACCAGGCAATACGTGTGCTACAGCAAGCACTGAGGAACCCCCATCTCATGGAGGGAGAGGTGTTGCTGA